GGGCGGTCCCCGCGCGCCCATAGGCCGCTCGCGCCGTCCGTCAGCGCGCGCGCGCGCCTTGATTGGTGTGAGGAGGCGGACCCGCAGGTGAAGCTCCGCTCATAGAGGCGCGGGGCGGAGAGAAGGTGATCAATCCTCCATCCGTCTCCATTAGAAATCACCTAAATAGTCTGACAGACAACGACAAGCCCCCTGAAAGCAAATGAGTTTGATTTGTTTGGCTGTAAAAACGCCCGGAACCGCAGCGAGGACGCGCGGACTTCCGTGACACCGCCGGTTCGCGCGTGAGGCTCCCGGTTTGCTTTTAACGCCAATCTCCGGCTCGGTTTTGTGCCCCGCGGACTTCCTACTGCTGGATAATTTTACTCGCCTCTCGCGGTCCGAGGGCTCCGGGATCAGGGAAGGAGAAAACCAAGGTAACGTGTCTTACTTTTCCTCTCGAGAATTTCAGGCGGAATCTGTTGCTCCCGTTTGCCTCCAAACTCCGGAGACTTCCCCAAACTCTGCCCGGCACGCGCCTCTTTCAATTTGCACGTTTCTTTTTCTTTTAGCGGAGATATCACTTCATGAGGAGTTCATCCCGAAACGAATAAATTGAGCCAAGTTCCTCCAAAAAACGGATAATTTTCATATTTCTATTCCAGTTCGTCCCTGCGAGTTTTTATGGAGAGCAATTGGCCATTAAAGCGTTTGAACCACTTAGTAGATAATTGGAGAGGCGTGTTTTGGTTTTGTTAATTTATTTTGCTGATAAGAGCCCTTCTGAAACGCTCTCTCCCCGGAGGTCTAATCTAAATTCTAATTGAGTTCATTTGCACTGAGATCTGGGCTTTTCACTCCGGCCCGGCGGAGCTTTAAAGGAGCCGCTGGAATCCACGTTGGGTTGCAGGCTTTGGTCCGGCCAGTTAGGAGACCATTGTTAAAATAATCTCACTAATTTAATTCTCATCTCTTCACACTTTTCCGGGCTGTGTTTTTGGGGGGTTTCAGATCCTTCAGCAGTGAGGAGTGACAATCAAACTTCTCTTGGTTTGTATTTTTTAGTTTAACATCAGTCAGAGAAAATATTTTGCTGTGGACTTTTAATTAAAAATAGAATAAAATAGGTATTAATACACTGCTGTTTCTTTCACAGAGCAATGCACAAAGTTTTTTTTCTTTGTAAATGATTGAATCAAACCCTCGACTGCTTCAAATTAAAGGAGGATATTGAGCGTGACATTATAATTTCTTTCCAAATAAACACGTCTTCAAAAGCTTCTTCTTTTTTAAAGGGGGAAAAAGGAGAAAGCCGAGGCTGTATGTCCGGATAAAATGTTTCCCTGGGAGGTGGATTTTAATTCAGCTGCCCGGGCCCTCTGAGGACCCGCAGGGATCCTGGTTCTGGTCAAAATCCTCACAAAGTGCGGCGACCCGAAACTAACAGCACCGAGCGGCCCCAGAAAGGCTTCAGCTGTGATTTTTATAGATTATCAAACCCATCTAAAATCCATCTTTTATCTGCGTGTATGTACGAATGTGTGTGTGAAGGTGAAGCCAACACACACACTTTGGACCCAGTGGGCTGCCGTTTTATTCTCAAAGGTTTGCTTTTATTGCTCAGCAATGATCAATAAAGGAGAATAAATTATAAGTACAACACTGCAGTTTCCAATTTACATTTTAAACGTTACTGCAGCTTTTTTTTAGGATGTTGTCTTCATTAATATTATTAATTGGAAAACAGTGCAATAATTCTTTAAAGTCAAATAGCATAACTGGTTTCTCTCTGGAAAAGTCTGATTTTATTTCTACAACACTCTGCATGTAAGGCCGTTTTTGTTAGCACTTTGACCACAAAAAGCAGTGATTTTATTAATTTGTGGATCTGCAAAATAATTCACGCTTTCTTAAATATTTTTTCTTCCTCTGCTGGGGTTTGAGTCTGATTTTTAGCTCCCTTTTGACCCCCATTAAAGACTCGCACTGCTGAGGGGATTTAGTGTTTCTAATTCCTAAATTTCTGTATGTTGAGCTCAAGCGTCCCTTACTCAGTTTTACGTCCTGATGCCACCTGACAAATCTTTTTAATATTTTTTGTAAGTTGGATATAATATGTTGGTTTCAGTTTGGATATAATTAGCTACAACAAAGTGACAATTTCCAATATCAGTATAGGAAAAAAACTCAATTGCAAACGAGCGTCTGGATATTTGGGGCTATTCTATTATGAATTCAAGTTTTATATTAAAGGTTTATAATTAGAATGTATCTTTCTTCTTCTGCTTTTCACCATTTTCTCCCGGTTCTGCGCAGTTCTCTGGATCGGTCTCCTGTCCCGTCAAGCTGCAGCATCGGGGGAAGCCGAACCACTGGCCTGAGCTGGGTGGAGCCGTGACCGCCTGTAGCATGATGTCCTACCTCAAACAGCCCCCCTACGGCGTCAACGGCCTGGGGCTCAGCGGCGCGGCCATGGACCTGCTGCACCCTTCCGTGGGATACCCAGGTTCGAGCCCCGGAGCCGCCACACCGCAAAATGCACCTATTCAAAAGATAAAAAAATCACATGAACTGATATTTTTGTTTCTTGTCCAGCATAAAAAAAATAGTCATACAAAATAGCACACTAAGCACGGTGTCGAAATGTATATATTTTAAAAACGCCATTTTAAAAAAGACTAATTGTTAGTAGCCTATACTTTTAAATGTCGACGAAATCGATTCAGATACACACAAAATGACAGTAAAGTTGTCTATAAAAAAGTTTCCACTTTTCTAAAGTCTTATTAAACTTGTGGGCCTATAACAGAGACATGTGATATAATATTTAAGCGTTTTAATCGCTTTGTTTGACCTTATCTTTCTCCGTTTCTTTTCCGTTTCTTTTCCGTTTGTTTCCCGTAGCCACTCCCAGGAAGCAGCGCCGGGAGCGGACCACCTTCACCCGCTCGCAGCTCGACGTCCTGGAGGCTCTGTTCGCCAAAACCCGGTACCCGGACATCTTTATGCGGGAGGAGGTCGCGCTGAAAATAAACCTGCCCGAGTCCAGAGTTCAGGTATTAAAAAGAGAGAGGGAAAAACTACTCAAAAAGGCAATTTTAAATCTCCTCTTACCTCGATAGAAGTTTACCTTGTTGGGCACAAACTGAACTGATGTAGGCCTACCCTTAAAAACGGTAATTTTTTTAACCAAACAAAACACGTTTTTCAGACCATTAAAAAATATATAAATTTCGTTTAAAAATAAATAATTTGCCCGCAGAAGAAAATAGGAGTTACCGAGAGTTAGATTTAAGAGAAAAAAAGACATCAAAATCTCGACCGTTGTTGACGTCATTATATAATTTAACGTTGATAACGGCTAGCTAGCAGGTTAATAAATAATTTTAAAAGTATTTTCTAATCGATTATTATTTTACACTTCTTGTGAATCTGGCAAACATAAAATAAAGATCAAGACTTATACTTTTTCTTTTATGATCAACCAATTTCTGAGAAAAACGGTGGGCTATATTTTGATTTTTTTTTAAACTATATGTTTATTTTAACATCTTTTTGGAGCAGAGTAATACGTCGTAAGTTAGATAAACCTTTCATTTTAACTCTTGGTTTGTTAATTAATAACTGTACCCTCGTAAAAACCCAGTCATGCTGTAGAGAATAGACTTCTGGTCTATTCTCTACAGCATGGTTTTTTAGCCATGCTGTTTATTAGTTGGTTTGGTTTATTACTTTAGGTGTCATGGCTTTTAAATGTTTTATCCCCCTTTTGTTTGGGGTGTAACTCGGCTCAGTGTAATTTTTTTTTGTATTCTTCGGTCACATTATTCAATCACATGGATTTAAAGAAAACATTTCCCATAACTACAAAAGTACATTTAAACTTTTTTCTTCTGGTTTTGAAACCCGGTTTAACAGTGTGTAATTTGATCTGAAATGTGGTATCCATGATTAAGAGAGAGGGATTTCTCTTACAATCGCTCCACAAACATTTCACTGTTGTACTATAGTGTTAAACAAATACAACTTTTGAAAGGTTCAATAGGGGAAGCCAATAGAAGCTTTTCTCTCACAGTTTGAGTTATTTTCAGAATATGTGTGTGAAACAAAATGCCCTACACGATCCTACCCTCTCAGTCCTCTAGAGTTACCCTACTGTGTGGTGAAACTCAATAGCCTGTTATCTTAGAGCCGTCTACCAGGTATGAAATTAGACCCCTGGTTGATCCAAGCCAAGGGGCCGGAGTGGAAATGAACCTTGATGGATAATAACCCTCAATTTTCTTCCATAATGTACTCCCAGCATGTCCTAGGAGTTTCTTCTTTTTTTTTCCTTTCTCCTCTCTGAGCTTGTGTTCGGCGGCTGACTGCTGACTTGTGCTTTGGTCCTAGGTGTGGTTCAAGAACCGGAGGGCCAAATGTCGCCAGCAGCAGCAGAGTGGCAGCAGCGCCAAAGCCCGTCCGCCCAAGAAGAAGTCGTCCCCGGCGCGGGAGAGCACCGGGTCTGAGAGCAGCGGCCAGTTCACGCCCCCGGCCGTGTCCAGCACCGGGTCCTCCTCCTCCTCCTCCTCCTCCACCAACCACACGGGCCCGGCGGCGCTCAGCAGCACCTCTACCTCCATCAGCACCGTCTCCTCCATCTGGAGCCCCGCCATCTCCCCCGGCAACGCCCCGGCGCCGGCCGCCGCCCCGCTGCCCGAGCCCGGACCCCCGTCCAACGCCTCCTGCATGCAGCGCTCCATGGCGGGCCCGGCCGCGGCCGCCACCTCCTACCCCGTGTCCTACAACCAGTCGGCGGGCTACGGCCAGGCCTACCCCGGCCCCTCCGGCTCCTACTTCAGCGGCGTGGACTGCGGCTCCTACCTGGCGCCCATGCACTCGCACCACCACCCGCACCAGCTCAGCCCCATGGCGGCCTCCTCCATGTCGGGCCACCCGCACCACCACATCGGGCAGTCGCCGGGGCACCACCACCACCACCACCACCACCACCAGGCCTACGGCGGCTCCGGCCTGGCCTTCAACTCCTCCGACTGCCTGGATTACAAAGAGCAGACTGCGGCCTCCTCGTGGAAACTCAACTTCAACACCACGGACTGCTTGGACTACAAAGACCAGGCCTCCTGGAGGTTCCAAGTCTTGTGATCGGCCTTTTTTCCCTTTTCTTTTCTTGTTTTTTTTTGTTTTTTTTGGCCCTTCCCTCCCTGCCCGCCTGCTCCCTCTTTTTATCCTCCAGATTAGCTTGTTGCTTGTTTTTAAAGACAAAAGAGTTTATGAACCATAAAGTACCACAATAGCAGCAGGAATGCTCAGAAATCGGACTGTTTTCACCTCCCTCTTGTGCTCCGTCTCTAAATAATGACACATTTAAAAAGCGAGTGGTCCAGTCCTGTGCAGCATCAGGAGCCGTTTCCTGACTTTGGCGAGCGGGTTTTTAAGGCGCCCCTTCTTGGAGGAGATTAAAGAAACAAACCAATTTCAACCAAACTCCTTTGACCACCAGCTCTGGATGGGAGGAATGTTTTCCCCTCTGATGCCCGACAGGAACTGCCCGCAGCGCCCCTTTACCTCCAGCCCAATCAGATCCTGTACAGTTTTTATTTCTGAAATTTGTTATTTTAGGACCACAGAGATTTTTAGTCAGCTGCGCCGAGGAGCTGAAACGTGTAAATATGTATTTGGGTCAGTTACAGTGACCATGTTTAGTTGGTGTTTTCGTTTTTTTTTTTTTTTTTTTTTTTTTTTTCAAATTTGAAATTGTTTATTACTGCTTTGAGAGAAAAAAAACAAACAAACAAAAAAGAAAAAAAAGGAAACTGTATGTAAAAAAAATTCCAAATATTCCAAAGAGAACAAATTGGCCATAAAGTTCAACTTTTATATTCATTGTTTAACTCCGGGGTAAAAAAAAATGTTTTGGAAATTTGAGATGTCTTGGAAAAATCTAAAAAATAGATACAGAACTATTCTGGCTGTCTTCAGGATCCAGATGTGATCATTTTAGCCTCCGTTTTCCGACCGGAACTCCTCTCCTGGGCATTGTCGTGATTATGGGACATGTTTGAACGCAGCACTTGGCTTGATATTGGAGTCAAAGCATTTTTAAAACCTTTTTTTTTCTTCTGGAGAGGAAATGTGGATTTATAACTCCAAAATGACAGTGAGATGTTGAATGTATCTTTAAGGCGACCGCCCTTACATACATGTTCATCCAATAAAGATCCGTTAAGTCATATTTATTTTCCACCGTGGATTCTGTCTCGGTTTGACTCCCAACGGGGAGTCGAGCTCCTCTATTTTTAGACGCACGTTCACCCGCAATTATCCAAACTCAAGGCTGCTCGTTTTGTCTCATTTGAACTAGTCACACTTTTATTTAAAGGCTTGTTTATTTGGTTTCTCTCTAATTATAGCAGGGTTCATGCAAATCGGGCCATAATTAAAACAAGCCGTGAACGCACGTAGGCCCGCATTTCCATTTTAGAGAGCAGCCGTTTAATCCTCTCCGTCTCTGCCTCAAATTGAAATACTAACGTCTCTCGTCGCTTTAGGGAGGCGAAGTGTTGTGTTTTTTAGACTCCGGCGTTGAAAGTGTTGAGCCGGGAGACATTTGATTGAGGCGTAATTGAATGCGGAGCTGTAATGGCGTGATAATTACTCCTGCGCCCTGAGTTGGTTTCTCCAAAACAACCTGCAGGAATTTCACCGCTTCTGATTCGGTAATTACGTAGGTGGGGCAGGTTAGGGGGTCAGGCGTAGGAGTGTGTGAGGGAGAGAGAGAGAGTTTAATGCCTTCATGCTCACAGGCAGAAATGCATTATGAAAGAGAGGAGAGGTTAAATTAAAAATACATCAGGTCCGTTCTCCGGCTGAAACGGGCGTCCGTGAAGGCCGCACGGAGACTCAACAAGATCCGGACTTTAAATCGGTCTTTTCAGAGATTTCTCCCTCTGATCTTATTTTAAACGAGAATCTTCTCCTTTTAGATTAATGCCAACACATCCTGAGCTTAAATGCAGCGTTCAGGTTCCCAAATGTGGACTGTAAAGACGTTTAATGCTTTTGTTTTAATGTCTAACTTTTGTAAAAAGACACTCGAAACGACCACATTTCCCCCAGAAATCCGGATGGTTTAGCTTTTATTTTGCTTATATCGGGATCAGCTTCAGCCAGCGAACAGAGGCTGGTTTTGTGCTGGCTCAGCCTCAAATGAAGGAGAAAAATAGTAACTTGAGAAAAAAAGGGGACATTCTAAACGATGCTTTAAATTCGCTTTGATTTAATATATTTCCTTTTTTTTTTTTTAAACGAAGTTGGAAAACGGCTTTTTCTTTTAGTGGTTTAAAAAAGACTAACATTAAATTATACGCGGCTCAGCTGTTTATTTTAATTTTTTACTTTGGTTAAATCAATATTTTCGACTTATTCTTTTTTTAAAATCCTAAAACCAAAGCGATTTTTTTAGAGAGGTAACAACTTTTTACCCCCTTTTATTTTAAACACCACCAAGCTTCGAATAAATAAATCCGCCTGATCAGATCCTCGGCCTGATCGATAAACTCCGTGCGTGGTTCAGCTGCGGTGCCTCTGAGTTTATGGAAATGGGTTTCCGCGGCAGCTGAACAAATATCTGCCAACCGGGACATTAAAAACATGTTTGCGCCAAGACGCGCAAACAGCGCAGCGAGTGTCCACCAACAGCGGCGGATTTGTTCGGATTTGCATCAAACAAACATTTGCGGCCAATCTTGCGCGGCTGTTTGCGGAGTTTGGGGGAGCCACAGGTCTCTCGCGAGGCAGCTGCGTCCCCCACAAAGGAGGAGAGGTCCGTTATTGAGTGTTTCCTGCGAGTTTTTGCGGATCCGCAGCCGACAAGTCAGACGTCCCGGAGACGTCTCGGTCCCGGGTTTAATAATTGAACAGCTGCGCGGGACAGAGAGATAGAAATCAAAGCAGAAAAGGCGAGGAAAGGGGATTTAATCTGGGATGGAAGGAACAAAAAAGGGATTAAATCCGTGGAGGGAGAAGTTGTGGCCTTCGGGGGCTGCACATGCATTTCCTGCCGCACACTTTTAGCGGTTTGTTATATGTTTGTTTGGATCCAATATTTGTGAGCAAGTCTCCGCAAAATTACGTTTCCATTAAAGAAGATTTTAACTCCAATTTATGGCTTTTTCATTCAGACGCTGGAAGATTTATTTGTAGGATTTAATAATAATATTCAGTGTCATAGCAAACAACATGTAGACATAATCAAAAATCCACAGAAAGACTTTCAAACATTAAAATGTCAATAATTAAACACACAACAAGACAAATTAAACTTTTAAAATAATGCCATAATAAAGAAATATCTTTGTAAAAAAAAAAAGAGAGTAAACACAAAAAAACCCAGACTGATCTTTTAATGATTTCTTAGGCTTTTGTTTAATATTTTGTAGATTTTTGCTGCTGTCGTTCATTTTTTTAACCATCAGGAGTCCACCTTAAAATGACCTTTGACACTACCATGGCTCCTGCACCCAACAAAATGACCAACTCTTCCCCAAGATATGATTTTTTTTAAGTAAAGGTGTGAATCTAAACCAAGGTGAAATGGAAACGACTGCCTCTGGATCCAGTTTGACTCTAATAAGACTTTAAAACCGAAGCAAAGAAGCCTCCGAACTCGTCTGAACTGTGACGAGCGTTTCGAGTGACGGACCGAAAACAAAACAGCATCTTCAGCCTCCGTTCATCTGCTGATGCCATCAACTCAAACCGTCTCTCTCTTGGCTCTAGACACACATTTCTTTTTTGCAATCGGCGTCCAAATTCTTTGAGACTGGAGCCGGAGGCGTTTAAGGCCTCGGCCATTCGGTTTTGATTATGGGCTTTTTTCAAATTTGCCAATTAAAAACCTCAGAAATCTTAATGGATAAAAGCGCCCGTGGCTTTGTCCTGGGAGCTGAACCGGAGTGTGTGATTGGTGCTTCACCCTGAGCCGAGTCGGGTCGGGTCGGTGGCGCCGTGACCTTTGACCTCCGGCCTCTCCTCGGCGAGGGCGTGCCGATGTGGGCGAACTGGAAACTGTTGACATTTTGTCCTCGGTTTGTCCAGGAAGTGAACTGGAACCGCGCCGCGCTGCGTTTGCATGAGTGCCTCCGATGCGTATCTGGGGGAGAGATAAAGCAGAAACCGGCCCGATCCTCCTCCGGCGCCGGGCCTCACGGGCCTCCGCCGGGCGCCATACGGCGGGCGGCGTGCTAAAGGCTGACAGAGACTCAGAGGGCCAGTTGATGCTCCGATAGGGAACCTGCATGCCGGGACTGTTTTCTTCCATTTCCGTGCAGGACGAGAAGAAAAAAAAAACCCAAAAAACAACAACACTCCGTCGCCCGTTTCTCATTGGCTGCCGGCTGTCACCTGACCTCAGCATCCCGCGGCGTCCATAGGCTGGCGGGCGGCGAGGGGTGATAGGGAGGAGGATTAAATTCACCTGGGAGGTTAATCTGGGGTCAACTGTACAGCAACACGGGTGTCGCCGGCCCAACGTCTCCGGTTTCTCTGCTTTGTCAACCGGTTTCCTCCCCCAGCATCCCGTACAGGTCTTTATTTATTCTAAATGCTCGTCTCTTTCTCTTTGGTTAGTTTTTGTCACTTCATGAAGTGTCCAAATCAGCCGCCGTCCACCTCAGAGCATTAGTGGGATTCCTGGTGGGTTCGGGTTAGGGTGTGTGTCTGTGGAGACAACAGGTTTTAACCCTGTAATGCCAAATGTATCATATTTGATACATACGGTTTCTGAAATGTTTTGCGTCTGACACCTTTTGCATAATATAATGGTAAAAACTTTGCTCAAAATCCTATTGGACACAATCAGATACACCTGATAACAGGGGGCAGAACACTACACAAAAAATTATCTCGACTTATCGCATAGTAAAAATGTATTTCTGTTTTTTCTCTTTACATATTTTGTTAAAAGGCCAAATAAGGAATTCAAACAAAAAAAAAAGTAATTTTCTGTTTTGTTTTGTTCTTGGATCGGGCTTTAAAGGGTTAACGGGCCGCTTCCTCCTGCTGGGTGGAATTACAGCGGCCACCCGATCCCGCCTGAGCCGGAGATTTGGTCACTGCACTTATGTCAGGTAGACCGGCCACTTTGTCGGCCAGAACCGGGAGCTGATTACTCGTTTCCACATGGCGAGACAGTGAAGAGCCTCTAATGTAGCCCAACACCGCCCAGCCAGATGTGGAGGGAAACAGACGGCTGCAGCCAGATGTTCTCGGCTCTGGTTCTACCACCTTAAAGAGCCTGAATCAGCAGTTAAACCAAACGGCTTCAACCACAATCTGTAAAGTCTAAAGCATCGTGTTCAGGTTTGCTCTCAGAGATTGACATTACGATAAAAAACATTCAGATTAGACTAAACAACGAACAGCTCATCTACCTGAAACATGTAAAAAAAACAAATAAAACACTTGTTCAACTGCTTTCCATCTGCAAATGAGGGAATATAAGAAAGAGAATAATCAGATCTTGACATCAACAGCACATTTTAAATAACCAACATCTAAAATAAAACTTTCTGGACATATTCAAGTAAATGTGTGAATAAAAATATTGGAATTAGCTATACATATATATATATAAAAAAAATCTGAGTATAATCAAACTTAGCAGCTTCTAAAAAACTCTCATTCAAAGACATTTAATTTCAGGTCAGTAATTGTTAACCACAAAATCCTTCTGGTGACATTAGCTCAAGGAAGTAAAGGATTCTAACGCTAAATTTCATGCTTCTTAAACCATTATCATTCCTCAACTGAAGCTATTGATCAAAGTCTAGTGGCTAGGCTAAAAAATGAGAGAAACCTCAGATCTCTTGGACTCCTCCACAACCCTTCTATCCAAACATGGACCTTTTGTTTTTTCTACTTTGCAAGCATTGACTTGCGCGATTAAAAAAATGGTGCTGAACATTTTTTGAGGGGATTTCAAACCCTGAGCTTTGTTTGAAAAGAGATTTGTTTTAAAAACTAAGTATTTTCCATGGCAAAGTATTGCAACACTAACCTCTTTTATTCTGTTTGCACATTATGTTAAATATTTGACTTTTGAATTGATTAAATAATATATATACATACATCTAAATGAGTGCTATTATATTAGGATAAAATTATTATTATATTAGCATATTTTCAGTATGTTAGCACCCGTGTTTGCAAACCAGAGGCGCCTGATTGAATCACAGCAGAAGGAACTGGTAAATGAAGTGATCCTAACTTCAGTTCGTGGTTCTTCAGCGGAGGGGGAGTCGTTAGCTGGTCGGAGGCTTTTCTTTAGCTGCTCTGAGGTCAGTGGAGCAGTCAAACTGCTTCCTTCCTCTCCTCCGCTGCCACAGCTGATGGGAAATCAGACAAGATTTAGCTTTTAACTTTAGCTTTTAGAGCCAGAGCCTTCGTATGCGACGGGAGATTTCAGACCTGTTCTGACGACATCCCCTTGTCCTCGTTTCCCTGCTCGTGTGGATCAACTGCATCACTTTGAGGAGGGATGGATTAGGAAGGTATTTGAGGTGTATTATCTCATCGGCAAAGGATGCAGGACCCTCGTCCCAACTTGTCTTCTCCCTGCAGCCCCTCCTGCTCGGGACAGCTTAATGGAGGCCTGCAGGCTCCAGCGTTTCCCACTGAGACCTTTGTCTCCGTTTTACAACTGATCTCAGCCCGACTCGTTGGCCACATTTCCTTTTTCACCCGGTTTGCTCTTTATCGACAAATTTCAGTCCGCACAAAGAAGCAGGAGGCAGCCCGGGCGAAAATGATCTAAAATCAAACCCCATCGGTGACCTTTGACCTCGGAAACCTGAGAGTTAATCTTAGATGATTGTCTCTGTCAGAGAGAGAGGAAAACTCCCTCTTGCTTTTATGCAGATAGCGAAGACTTATCTAAGATGCTCGCTGAGCTAGCCAAACGCAGCTGAAGAGGTGGGAGTTTCTGAGTCAGGAGGGGAATCGTACGATATTCAACCACCCAAAAGCACACGCGTGGCGCCCTAAAACGGCCCGCAAACAGACATTTTCTGCAGGCAAAGAGGTTCCAGTTCTGCAGCAAAGAAACAAAAGTATCGAACATTATTGTTCGATACAAATTGTGTATTTGTGTGAAAGTAACAGTTCTTTCTACTAATCATTGTTATATTATTTGGTCCACATGCAAAAGTCCAACTCAACCCAGAGCTAAAAACTGAGGAAATCTGTCAACTTTCAAAGCCGAGATCCCTTCAAACAACCACAGCTGTTCTTAAATGCGTCTCTGATGGTCCTGACAAATTTGCCTATGATGTTTTTTGGGATCAGAAACAAACCTATAATAAACCAAACCCCCTCGGTCTCGGGGGAGACGGCATCAGACCAATCAGGGCCATCATTAGATGCGATAAGGCCTCTGCAGAAACTGCACAGCTGTTGCACTGAGGAGGGGGAAAGAAAGCAGATAACCTGGATAATGGCAATTGCTGGAGGCTTGATTCATTTCCAAAACGTTAACAAGGCCGTTTCACAGCTCCAGCCCCCCGTGCAGCATGTTAATATCACTAATAAGCCAATCTCTGCAAGTCATCTCGGACAGCCGAGATTCGAGGCAATAAAGCTGCCGGCCACGTTCTCAATGAAGCATTTGTGGTTTCTCAAAGCTGACATAATTGCTTAAAGGGTGCACTCGTACTTTGTTTTGTGTTTTACTGAAACAGTGTTAGCATATTAGAAGTAAGAAAAAAAAAAAAGAAGAGGGAGGAGGGGGGGACGGGAAGGACCCTCGTTCGCCTTTTAAGCAATTTTGCAGCTTTTCTTCGAGCTGTCAAGTCAAACAATCAGCAGATAATGTGGTCTTGGTTTGTAAATTATAAACGTGTCAAGAGAGGCTCTAAAGGCAGCGACAGATGCCACTTATCTAGAGCTGCCTCTGCAGTGTGACTGTATCATCAGAGGGGAAATGTAACATTTTGATGTTTACATAAGAGAAGTATTAGTATCAGTCAGAAATGTAATTCCTTTCAACCGTCCCTCTCGCAGGGGATTGACTGCCCAAAAAACATACAATGATTTTTTTTTTCCAAAGCTAACAAAACAACAAGAGAGAAAAAAAAGGGAGCAGAAAAGCATCCTCGCTGATCTTCTGTCCATTTCCAACATCGCTTCTTGTATATTTTTTGGTGGAAATCCTCTTAGAATGCAAAGTAAATAGATTACGATACAGTGAGGGATTAGGGCCTGCGCGGCGCTGTCAGATTAGTCGGTGAGCGCAGCGCGTCGACAGCTCTGACACGGCTATGGCTGCTGTTCAGGAAAGGGGCTCCGCGCGACGCTTTAAAGTCGCTGGTTGGCTCCCGTTCATGAATAAAACTCGGGCTCGTAATCTCGGCCAACACACACACAGAGGAAGCTGGCGACATCCAAAATCAGAATAATGGAAGTCTTTATTTTTTCAGGCTGATTAATGGCAGGTTTAGAGCATTTTCTGTCACATTTTTAATAGAAGAACCTGCTGTAACAGTTTCTTTTGAGGCTCATTTGGTTCAGATTTCACTGAGACAGAAAATAACCCCAATTCACTTCCAGTGACTTCTATAGATACACAGGACTAAAAAAATGCACACTTCTCATTCATAATAGCACTATTCTACTTTCAGATCGTGTCATGGACACGATTTCATGTAATAAAACACAGGTGAGTTTGTTATCTGTGAAATTTTGTGTCTTTTCAGTGTCCAACTGGGACTGGTAAGTCTTATCTGATTAGTTTTGTCAAACCACGCCTAAATGCACCACATGGAGCATCCCGGGGTCTTCTCCATCCTGCAAACAAACAAACAGAAGCATGTTTTTGGGGAAAAATACTTCAATTAGACATTCCTGTATTGTTTGCTAGACACATTTTTACTTGCAACTCTCATCAAAAGCCTTAAAACAACTTTATTATCAGTGTTAACTGTTTAATTAATAACTTAGTTGGACAAAAACACAAAGCAAATTCAGATTTTTTTAAAAAGATTTAAGTATTTCAGCAAAAGTGGTTCCAAAAACTGGAAGGTTTTACACAGGGAAGGTTTTGCTTATTTCTGCAAGACACGCCGTGGTCTGCATGTGTTTCTTTACTTTATCATCAAAGCTCGTGGCTGAAAAATGACAGACTGAAAAATGATGCTAAAATTTTTTTAAATATAGAGTCGTCACAGGCTGCCTGAATTCACCCTCCTGTCTTTCTATTTATCCACATGAATCCCAGCCATTAAAACCAGATGCTATTAAAGTAGTGGCTGCAAAGAATTGTGGGATGGGATTATCTCTTGTCTCACTGTGGTTCCTCCACAGATATCAAAGGGGACTGTTGGACCGGACTCCTTGAGTTAAACTGAGCTGCCAGAAAATGGAAACACCAAGACGCCGGATTTTATGGACTGGGAGAGGGAATGTGTGGGTCTTGTGCACCAGTGAAATAAAAATTGACCTTGATTTTTGTTTGGTATTTTTAGGTCTTATCATCTGACAGGTTGTCAGAAAAGATGCAGGAGCTTTTATCAACCGTTCTCTGTTCCCTTTGATAATAGCCGAATTTTGCTTCTCTGGAAGAATTTAAGACTTAAGAGGTTTGATCTTTTGTCATTCATTTTGTGTCAGCAAGTCTTTCCTTTTGTAATTAAATAAATGTAACTTTTCTTTGTGGACTGATGATAAGGAGATGTCAGAGCTCTGAACTAAATGCTCCTTTTGGGCCCTCAAGCCTCCAAAACCTGCTGGAAACCATCCTGATCAATAGAGTTTAACCCTTCAACCCCTACAGAGCATCATAGATTAAGAAAACATGACAGAGCCTTAAAAATGTGAAAACCACTCAGATGGTTGACTTAGTTCTTAGAGAAAGCTGATGATGGAGAAGACTTAAAGAAACATTTTGAACCTAAGGTGACAGATTAAATGGAGTTTAAGGACTCTGCAGTTCAATCTTGGCAGAGCTGTTGAATAAATTGTGTAATTTTTATCGAGTTTATTTAATTTAGATTTGTTTTAATATTCTCTGCCCACTAATGTTTGTAAATGAGAAGTTATTTGCTCCATGGGCTTATAAAGTTTGTGTTGAGCAACTTGCTCTTTCCAACAGGCTCGAGGTGTGAACATTTACCTTAAAAGAAGAAATAATAGACTTAAATGTCACACATTTCCTATTAAACGCATCATTACTCGTTGATTTGTATGTCAAAATGTGTGTTTTTCTGTTTTCTCTCAGGCCGGGTTGAACTGTAACCTGACAAATACGTTTCTGGTTTTATTGATTTTATGACGAGAATCTACAGACTTCTCCGTTTGATCCACTGAGTCAATCAACTCACATCTCCTCTGCCTCCGTCAGCCGCGGCTCTCCCTGCAGAACGGGGGGAAACGACAGAGTGATGCTTCTGCTAACCAGCTGTGACACTTCAACATCCCAACATTAGACATGCACGATCACACACGGCAGCCCTACAGCACACAAACAGCTCAGTAGGTCGGACACGTCGCCCGTTCTGGTTATAAGCAAATGTAAACCATTGTCACTCGTGGCAATCTCTCCCGCTCTGAGCTCCGCGTTAATAAGGTTATGATTGACATTAAAACCCCGACGTGCCTTAAACAGATATTTAAGGCGCTGATGCAAATTTCCCTCAATTGCCTAGAGTCTGGATTATTAAATGACAGAGCAATTAGGTGCAGAGTCAATTGTTAAACACATGAAAAATGGAATTATTACTACAGGAGGAGCAGGAAGGAAGCAAAGAAGAAGTGATGTTTTCCTAATGGAAGTTTTCCAAATTGACCAGTTAGTAATCTAAGAGAGGATGAGGCAGAATGAGTGTTTCCTGAGTGTTGCTGCGGGGCTAAAACCGACATGCTGAACGTTATTAGCTGTAATTTGTCATCATGAGGTGGGACTGATAATGGGTGGCACTAAGGAAGGGCCGTGGAAGATTGGCCTCTGCAAATCCGTTACTGGATGTGCTGATCATTTCCTGATTTAGAAAAATAAATTAGGTGAAGTCTGAACTGTGGAAGCTGCACTCTGCCTGGTGTTTGTTAGCTGGAACAGGCAAAGATTATAGAAAATACAAGGGATTAAACAAGAGAACATTTGATCTTGTTATATTTTATATTTCATCTTCTGCCATTAGATAGATGTAAAAACACTTGATGGCTCATTGATTCTTTGACCAGCACTGTGTTCTCCCACCTGTTTGTTTCAGGGTCCTGAGCACATCTGGGCTGATGGTAAAACATCTGGCCTCAGCCTGTGGCCGCCTCTGATTGGCCCTCCCATCAGAACTGAGGAACACAGAGAGAGCAGATTGGATGAGGATGAACGGGGACTCAGTCATCTCATAAATCATCGTAAACAAACCGTCCTTCAGTTTGGTCACACGGATGCAGATGTTTCACACTTTAACACTCTGAGGTTTACTGGAAAAACCTTGGACAGTGAGTACACTTTATTTACATTTCACTGTCTATTATGAGTCCCACAAGCAAAAATAGATCACATTAAGTGATTAAAGCACATTAAAAAGTTAAAAGAAAAACCTTTAACATGTATGAGAAAGTTACATTACAGGTTCAGGTTTTTAAGGAGTTGTGTAGGTATTTAGGTATTTAATAATTCGGCTAGCTGCATATTACAAACTGTTGAGCCCCTCTGATAGAAATGCATTTATCCCATTTCTTTTACTTGGATATCTGATGAACACTCTGGTTTTTGTTCAGGTTCTATTTGTTTATTCTGTTCATCCCCTAACGATGCCCTGAATTTAATGCTCAATATTCACTTTTTTGTGGATTTTTGAGCTGCCCACATTTTGTGGATTGCTCAATAAATAAACAAGGAAGAAGCTAAAATAAATAATATTCTTGCTTCTTAGTATTTTCAGAAATCTGGGAAGTTTCTTAAATCAAAATCCGTATTTAGAGGATTAATAAACTCTGCGGATGCTGGGTGGGAAACACGCTCGGTTGGGGACAGAACATGTTTGTACAGAAGTAAAATATCATGGATTAATGTTGCAATAAAAACATTCAAGGGTTTTCCTCCATCTCACATAACCAGAGCTACTGTTCGTCTCAGTTTTTGTGGTAGAGATGAAGAAGAGCACCAAGATCTGCCTCATTTTTCACCTTGTACTAATTGACCGGACACAAATTAACAAACAGGCTCCTGTAGCAGGTGATTTATCTGGATCAACTAAACTAAATTAGAAAGTCTGATGTCGTCATGTTTACCTCAGAAACATGGACACACGAGGCAGCTTTTTGATGGCAGATATAAGCTTCAATTGCCTTCAAATGTCCAAATTTGAATAATCGTTCTGTTTTTTGTTTAAATGAAAAACTGCTACTAATACACAACATGGCCCTGTGTGCACACACTGACTTATAATTCTGCGTCACTGACAGGCCGTTAACAGATTTGAATCAATCAGGAAATCTTAAGCTTGAGCTTAGGATGCAGAAGCTTCCTTTGCTCGTGTGAATCTAAAACAAATACATAAAGACTAAATATCACACCTAAGCCAGTAGGTCCTCATTATTTCTGAGCATCACATTAACTGTGGCCTCCATTAAAGAGGAATGATAATCAGTTCCCCTCTCCTCCCTCCACCAACAGACGAGAACGTGACGAGCAGCAGAGGCCAGCGGCCACAAAGCAGAAGAAAGTTGGGACGCTTCCCAGATTTCCGTCTCGTTGTCTCTCACGACTCCACGAGCAGATTTGGATTTGAGAAAGCAGGAATCTGCGAGGAGCCCCCGAACTGCCATTGTGCTCGCCTCCCTCTACTTCTCTGCTCTTTTCTCAGCGAGCCAAACGGGAGAACGCCCGCGCTATAATGCCTCCCCCTACTCCATCTCTGCTAAGCTGCCACTGGCTTCACATGAGAAACAATGAAACTTCATTGGAGACCAGATTACAAAAGAGAGTGAGAGAGGGGGGGGACGGGTTCAATTAAAAAAAAAAACTCAAAATGCGACAGAAATGCAAAATAAAAAAATTAAGAACCTTTGCTTTGTTTCTCCCTCTCTGGTGCCATTATCTTTGGGGAGGTTTGCTTTCTTAGACCTGTGGTAGTGCGACCGGGCTTTTGGCTGCCAAATCGCCCTAACCCTCTTTACCACTCTTTTTCTCCTCTTCTCATTCCTTTTACTGTTTTTAAAATGAGCTTAGGACACAGCATCTCTCTGCCGCACCCCGCCCTCCCCTCTCTCTGGACCCAGCTTGTTTAAATTGGCCGATAGGAAGGGATTTGGGATGGATGGAGGGGGCTTAGAGAAACGCAGAGTGGAGAGGTTGGAGGTGGAGGGGTGCGGAGAGTCATCAGTGTTACAGTCAAACAGCCATGAAAAGCCTGTGAGGATGAAAAGAACAAGAGCGCCTTTTTATCTAATGCACACAAATCCCATATAAATACTCCAATATGTTAGTTGGGGTATGACAAGAAATGCCTCTCCATCACTCCCCCCCATCACTATCCCACAATAATAGAGACATGGATGGCTATATTTGTGCGCATCTGTTTGTGTGTGCGTGAGAAAAAGCCACAGAGGGATAATTTCAGCGCGTCTTTAGTCACAGCGTTTCAGTTCTTCATTCACGTTGTGATTGTGTTAAACAATCAATCCGAAACAGTCAGCTCTGAGGGCTGAAATGTGGCAAAAAATGGACCCTGGTGAAGTTTGAAATCTGGCTCAGGGTCCAACGCTGGGACCAATGGACGCGTAAGACCCGGAACTGATGTGGCTCTGACATTTGAAATGTCACCGGGTGTGTGTGTGTGTGTGGGGGGGGGGGTTCCAGGCTGCAGCCTCAGTCACTCGGACACAGACACAGTGAGCAAAGCTGATGCTTTGTGTGGCTTAAATCATCATTTCACCACAAAAATTAGTGAAACGATGATGGCAGAAGCATCATCCTACTAACCAGAATCGTAGTCCATGTCAAACCTCTTGTTGCTCTGAATGTCTGAAGTGGTCAAAGTTCCCAAGTCTCAAAATAACTAGCATTAATTCATGACGGATCAACTGTTATTTGAAGTATTTCTAGTATTAACAGTTCCAAAATAGACAGGGAAATACCTAAATCTTAATTCCCGACACAGGGCTGCTTTAAGACCACCAGATTATCGATGATGCAGAGGTCAGAGATCTTCAACTATCTTTTTTTGGATAAATAGGTTCGGTGAGGATGTGGGGTTTGTTCATGTTTTTTCTCTTTAGTGTCTCATAAGCATATGTGTCTAAAAGTCTTCATCTCCAACGTCCTTATTACTAATTATGACCTGATGTGACATTTATGTCCATTTCTACCTTTGAAGGCTGGAGGAACACACACATTACATCAACATTTCAGGATAAATTCGTACTTGAATTTAAATAGTTTACTGAAAATGAAACCCTTTTGCCCGTAGCATCTCTATGCCTTTGGACACGTTTATGTGCAGGTTTGGACACTCTGCTGCCCGAAAGACTTAGTTAGTTTGAGAATGGGGGTTAAAGCATTTCTTTCATTAATCATCACGAGAAACGTGAGATTTCTGGCAGAAAAAATTACTGATTTTCAAAATATTTTTTAGACTTAAAACAGCTCTAATCACACAGCTTTATGGAAACGTATGCGATCATGGATTATAAGTAACTCACCGTGTTGGGATGTTGTCTGGGTGTGTCGTGCTCTGGGCCCTCTCAGCCGGGGTTTTTCTACCCACCAGAGGCTTTTCTGAGACACAAAGATGAAAACACACAAGATGAACAACACCGGAAAGTAAAACAAAAGCAAAACTGTTACGATAAAGTACAACTTTGAGTTTAGGACACTTTTCGTGGCTCCTTTGGAGATCAAAACGTAGCTTTTAGGGCAGTTTGTCACGCCTGCAGGCACAACCGTTTTCGCCTTATCTAAGGTTTGTGTTAACTTACGCGTGCATGTGTGAGTTAAGGCTCAGTAAATGTTCTGAATTGAGACAAGAAGTCAACAGCAATGTAAGATGTGCAAGCAAGGCAGCCAGGAGAGCTGAGAAGGGAACAGAAACAAACGCCGCTTTCCTTCTACGCACACCGGAGCTAACAGGCTTTCCAAATAACGACAAAGAAAAGACAGAAAGGCAGGGAGGAGGTGGAGAAGTGGATCTCCAGATAAAGCTCTCGTCTCTGCCCGCTGAAAGGCCCCGCAGTCACATCAGCCTTTGTGAGGGGGAGACGCAACCATCAGCAAACCAAGTTGGCTTCTCCTCTTGGCACTCCAAAGAAAAAGAGATAGAGAGGAAGAAAAAGAGGCCTTCCCTCGCACTTGTTCGGCGCTCTGCCTCTCACAGAGCCGTATCAATCCAAATCAGCACACTTGTCAGCCAGACAGCTATAAGCGATTTCCAACGCCGTTATGAAAGGGACCATTTCTAAGCTGAGATCTATGTTCTCTATTGTGCGCTTATGTGTGTGTACAAGCGACAGCAGAATCTCTGCTCATCGGTATTTACAATGGATCCACCTAAACGCGGGAGGAAGTGCATGGAAATACGCCGTCTTTGCTCGATCTGATTCCAAGTCTCACGCTGACATCCACGTTAAACAACCACCCGATTTGGTATGGAGTCATTTCTCTGCTCTTCTCTTAAATCTGCCCACTTCTGCTTTATTTTTCTTTAAAAAACAACAAAAACAACAACAAATAACAGGTTGGCATTGTCCCAGATCAGCTGTTCTGCCTCCTTCTTCCACTGGAAGGTGTCCTGTGTCTGTCCACCCGGTCGGGTCGTTGCAGCCGACTCCTGTAAAATCGCCTCGGGCTATAACTCCCATGCAAACCAGCAAAACCGTCGCTAATGGAACATGTGACATCTGGACGAGGGGCAGCGGTTAAGATTTGACCTTCTGGCTAAAAATAAACGCCCACAGACACGCGTAACCTGAGAAAAAGGAAGCGATGAATAAAATTGACAGTTCAAACGACCGGCGCTGCGGTTAAAGGTGATCATTTAAGAGGAAGAAACTTTGAAATAGGAGAGTTGGAGACCGTTGAACACCTTAACCAGCACTGAGAGACAGGATCTGCTGGTGTAAGTCTATGTGAATGCAGCATTTACCTTCTCATTGCTCTGAAAATATACGTACAGATTATCTGTGAAGCATTGAAAGTTAAACTAAAACTAAAGCAACTCCAGAGAGCATTCTGCCCAGTCATGCACGTTTAAACATACATATCGTCTTTAAATTATGAGCACCGAAGTACAAAGGGTAGATTGGTAATCCAGTCCTCTTTATGTATTCTGTATATATTCTAAATGTAGAGCTTTAGAAATACATTGATCCACTCCAAGTTTTTTATATTTCACGTGTAAGCTCCAGACTTTTTAGTCGTCTTTCAAAGGGGTGTTGACTAAAAGTCATTCAGAACTTCTGAAAATAAATTAAGAAAAAAGACACCAAACTAAACCCATTCCAAATCAGCAAATAACTATTTTTAAATTGGATCTTTAGGCACTTTGTCGCTAGCATTTATTTAGTTAATGCATGAAAAATGCCAAAGACAAGACATAAAACAGGATTTTTGAGGGCCGCAACAAGCTGATTCCCAAAGAGACGAGTGAAGGAAAAAAGAAGAAGAGTTGGGCCTAAAAAACTGTCTCCAGCAGATAAAGAGGATCTGAAAGTGATTTCCTAAAGAAAGAGGAACAAATCCAGCAGAGAGCTGAGCAGGAGCTGATCATCTCCTGTTGGCCTCATCAGAAAAGCTCTCCATGAAGGGGGGCTGTCAAGAAGCCAGAGAACGTAACAAAAGGCAGCCCACATCCAGAGAAGAGCTCTGGGATGTCCTTCAGGAAGCCTGGAGAGCTGCTCCTGAAAACTCCTTAAAGGAAAGGACACAGGGCTGTGAAGAGGGTTCAGAGATGGAGGAGAGAGGAGCTCAGAGCAAATATTGACAGCTCAGCTATTTAAAACTTCACAAATTCTGTTTTACAGGCCGTATTTAATTAATCTTAGTTCATATTTTAAGAAAGGACTGCATCTATTTAAAGAGTCTTAATAATATTAGGCAGCTTGATCCACCTTAGTGAGACAGTTGGCCAGAGACTGCGTTATGTGAACCAAGAAATGTTGTCACATGTGACAAAAATATGTAGAAGTAAGAATATATACAGGGTTTTTATTTACAGGTCCCATTAGTAGAGCTGATATTCTGCTATTCGTTATGTTAAAAATACAGCCATTTTGCCTTTTGATCCCTCTTTTAAAGCTTTCCACCGGTTAGAATGACGACGCTAAATGTGCGTATCACCCAGGCTGTGAATACACGTCTGCAGGTAAAGCGAGACACCTGTTCACTGGAGCCCTCCACTTATTATTAATGACCTGTCTTGGTAGGCTCTGTATGCACATCGACACCCAAGTGGACAACAAAGACACACAATTGGGCACAAAGACACACTGATGCGTGCACACACTCTCAGGAGGAGGCATCGGTTTGTTTAGCATCAATGGAAGCAGGTTATCCACCCAATTTCAGAGATAAAATCTCCCAAACAGAACTGGGGCCAGGGGCCATATTTTTGTGAGATTTTGTGGGAATTACTGAATTAAAGTTGGATGTAAAAACAACAACTATTATGAGTAAATATATACAAAGAAAAGAAATGCCAGAGCTAGCACTAGAGCTCTTAAATACAGTTTGATTTGTATCCTTGCATTAAGAGCCAGATTTCAGAGGGTGTTTGAGAGGGTTTTATTAAGTGTGTGTACAACAATGGGCCTCTGAGGGCGTCACAGCAAAATTTCTTTATGTTAAAGCTGTGTGCAAGAAGTTTATGACCCCTCCCTTTTCAGCTAACCAGAGAAGTCGTGTGTCTGGCTGTACATGTTCAGGGTTTTTACTTTTTATTACTAGTGGTTTTGCAACCCACATCTATAGGGGGAGCCAGAGAGGAAAAATCCTGTTTACCAAGTTCTCTTACTAACTTTAAGACCCTAAAACTGTTTTTGTTATGGTTATTTTTTTCATTATATCGTATATAATGTTCAATTGAAAAATCTTTTGATATGTCAACCCTCTGAGTATTATCAGCCTTTCAAACAGTCTCTCAGCCCACAATTATTCGTCAGCCCTCTTAAAAACTAGATTAAGAATTAAACATACTTGACATATTTTGGTGAAAAAGTAATAAATAAATCAGCTTTTATACCAAACAAACCACAAATATCCTTTCTGGCAGGTTTCTAAAAGGTGGTGGTTCGACTGCTGGCTTCCCGGGGCCACGTCTCTAAGCACCCCTGTGTGAATAAGCAGGTTCTGTGAAAGATCTTCAGAGTGGTCGGCCAGACTAATCAAATACAGATCATCTATTATTCAAAGTCCAATAAAAATGTTTTACTTTCTTCACCTAAATTAGCATCAGAAAGCCGTGAGATCTATCGTGCTTGATATGGCTGCTAACAAGGAGCAGAATAAATGCAAAGAAAAGAAACAAATCTATTTCTTTGTTCTCTTTATTCGTCCGTACTTTATCAATATCCCTCCTGACTTGTTTCTTTCCCCAACTCCTCCTTTCTCCTGCTGTCTTTGCTCCTCCTCTGTCCCTTCCTCCCTCTTTCTCTGCAGCCCTGCTGTCCAAGGATAGGACATGCTGCAGGTGATGGAGGTAAATCATCGAGGACATAATTAAGGGGCTTATGGGAAGGGGAGCGCGTGTTAGGCATCACATTAGTAATAAAAAGGAAAAAATACAAGCAAACAGGCCTCACAGTTACACAGATGCTTATTTTCATTCACAGCCATACACACAGACACTCAGCCTCGGGGGTTTGACCTTATACAGCAGAGTTAAATACCTCTCTTGCCTCATTTGGTTGTCTGTGAACACCCAAATTTGCCCCCACAGCCTTCTGCTGCGTTTTAAGCACCAATGAAGGACTCATCCAACATGTTCATCTAGTTCCCTCACAAATTTGAATGTTTTCTGTTCACCCGTTGGCCCTTGAAGCCTCTGTGAGGACTTGTGAGTGAGTGTTTGTGAGAATGTGTGTGTGTAATCAGGAACTCTGCTTGATCCCCTCTGGTATGTGCTTTTGGGAGTGTTTGTCAAAGGGCAGCAGCAGAGTCTGAAAACGACAAAAAAAAAAAAAAAAACCCTACAAAAAAAACTAGGCTTTGGCAGAGTTTTCTCCAACAGAAACGTAATTTTATTCGATTCCTTTGTTTTTCACAGCTTTATTTTACGAAATCGATAAAATTTGTTAGGATATATAAATGGAAATATGCTGCAGTTTTTCTTTAAGGTGGTAAACACATGTTCTCTTCTCACTTTTCAGCTATCTATTCTTGGTGCTGTTAAATGAGAGTCTGAGAAAATATCTGGTCTTAGATGTAAGAAAAGTGTGTCACGGTGGGTGAGTTGCCGAGGTTATCAAGCACCCACCTCCCGTTCCAGATGTAAGGAGAAATAACGAGTCGCATTTGGAGTCTTTTTGGTCGAACATGTGATTATTTTCTTACCGTTGCCTGCGATGGCCTCGGCCTCGATTTCATTTGCTTTCCTCTTGGCCACATCCGCTAGCACCACCTCGCCCTTATCACTGGCGACATAATGGAGGTCCTTTGAAGGTAATGCAAGAAAGAAAGAAACGTGAAAGTTAATCTAAAATGAATCTAGGCTCGGATGACAATAGTTTTTTTTTTCTCTTTAAGAGGGGTGGGGGGCGGTATTTTGGCAGGAGGAGGAAGGAAAAGATGAAATGAGCCATTTGAAGCCCGACATCAGAAAGAGCACCGGTTTGGATGAAATGCCGGTTCCTCAAAAAACTTTGAAATCAGCCTCCCTGCTCCCCGCACCCCAAACCACACCCACTCACACACACACTCCACGGTTTTGAACTGAGGAGGATGTTATCAGTCACATTTCAAAAGTGGGAGAGAAGCCGAGGGACTGTTCACCTTTCAGAGACGCTGGTATTCTCTCTTTACAGAGAAACATATCCAGCTGAGCATATTACTATATCAGCCTGTGACAATATTGGAAACAGCGTGTATCCTCTGTATCTCTGTTTGAGTCTCACATGGTAATGAAAAGTGATAATGTGGCTAAATGATGTCTGAGGGTGGCTGATTTGAAATTCAAGGCTGCCACGTATTCACATTGCTTCAGACATCTGTTCTTTAAGCTTTAAGACGCTCGATAGGAATCAACCTATTTTCGGTCCAAATTGTCAAAAAAACTCTAATCTGATACCACAAATGCTTGATTTAGAATTTTCTTCAGGTCTGCTGTTGAAAATAAAATACATGCATTTTAAATGAATGTGGAAAAATTACATTTGGGGGTAAACTGCTTTATGCTTTCTTCTTCTTGTTCCTCTTGTTCTTTTATCTTCTTCCTGTTATATAATGTTCTAGTTTGTTAGACCCTGTATGGTCTGTGGTTGGTTCATTTATAATGTTTGTTTGGTAAAATATGTCGGATTTACTCCTAATTTGTAATTTGCTTTTAAAATATAAAAAGAAAGTGGCATTGTGGAAATTATTCAAACGGCAGAAACAGCATTTAAAGACATTTAAACAGAAAGGATTTAACACAGTTAGTATTTAAGGAGTTGGAGCAGCCTCCCTCTTTTGGGTTAATATGAAATTCAGGAGTATATCCCTAAGGAATCTTTATACTGCATAACGAGCTGAAGTTTAGGATTACATTGATCTAAATAGCATTGGTAAATACAAAAATTAAGCTGTTTTAATGGTAAATAATACAAATCTGCTTAACTCTCTTGAGATGCGAATGTAAAACAGTCACTATCTGCCTCATTTGTAGTCGGTGAGTCTAACCCGGATACATGACGGTGCAAAACAAAACAATTAAAGATGTTATGCGTGGCGGATATTTGTTAGAAGAACTAATGAGAATTGTGGTATTTCTGCAGAAGCTGATCTCCTAAAGTGAATCAATTGCTGGATCTGACACCCTGTGAGGTGTTGCAGGGTTTCCCAGGGCAGGGAGCAGGGCCTGAGGGCTCATCAAAGGGGACAGCGTGTTAAGGAAAGTCTTCCGCCTCAGCGACATCACAGGACATCACTGCCGGGACTCAGGGCTCACCATGGATAACCCTCAGCTGGCTAAAGCCAGCTCCCAGCTGAGCCTGCACCCGGCCCTAATACCCCCATATTGTAACCCTGCTTTTGTAGCCCCAGAGGAGAAAAATAAAAGGGGGGTGGGGGGTGGGGGGGTGCTGGTTTCCAAAAGAGGTGGGATTGATGCAGAGAGGGAGCGTAAAGAAGCATGAGAGAGAGAGACGTGCTGAAATTGAGGAGTATGAATGGGAACAGATTGGGTAATTATAGTGTGGTGCCAGCCCTCTGTGGAGAAGAGTTAGGGGGAAATGTGAAAATGGCCGACAACAAAATGGCCTCAAAAGAACACAAATCGGCTCACAGGGCCGAGGTGGCAGACTCAGCCTCTGCAAGCGAGGACACGGCCCCTCAATTAGATATGACTGAGGGCTCCTAATTAATAACAAACAGAGCAGCAGAAGATTAAACCCCAGAGAAGTGATAGTAAGGTGGAAAAGGAAGAGGAGCGCGGAGGGAGGGAGGGGGAGAAAGACGAGGGGAAAGAGGATGAGCGACTGTATGACAGACAGAACAGAACAATATGAACATTTGATGCTGGGCGCTTTATTCCAGCTTAGCCCCTCATAATACTGTCTGAATCTGGAGAAAGGGACCCAGAGAAAGAATCCACCACTGAACAAATGTGAAATGAGAGCGAGAGGAGTATCAACCCGACTAAGAAGGGATAACAATAATACTGCATATAAAACCATCAGATATTACACCTCTTATTCCCCGACGCTCAAACGCGACACTAATCTTATTTATATAAGAGCTTTAGGGGTTGCAGCGAGCCAGCTAACTGCGCCGATAAAGAGGGGCGTTTTAGTGGGCCGTTTTTGGGGAACAGAGGGGAGGGAGGTGGTGGACGCTAAGAGCCCGATATTGACTGATATTTGGGCTGCTTCCAAATAAATGAGGGATTAGGTTAACTGGCACACAGCCGCGCTTACAGCACATTAACAGGCGGGCTCCTGTTTGTGCGTCTGCAGCCTGACGCCTCGGCTCCGAGTCGCTGTCAGAAAAGGACATATGTGAACATATGTTGGGCACACGGCACAGAATTAGTGATTAAAGCAGAAGCTGCTATCTGTCTGTCTGCACGTTAAACATTGGATGACGTTCGCAGAGTTTAAGGCCGACTTACTGAAGCTTTTTCCTGCGGCTGGTTTCTGATTTCTGACTTTGATGATTTAGCTTGCTGCGATGTGTCCCATAAAACAGTAAACAACTTGTTGCACTGGGTTGAGGCAGTTAAATAATCCATTTCCTGATTATTGTTTAACAATTATTTACCCCACAGCTGCCCTACATGAACATATATTAGTTCTAATTCTGCTCTGAGGGATTTATCCCTTATCTGAAGCAGCCTGTTTTTGCATTATATTTATTCACAGCATAGTTTCTGTTCATTGGACAGATAACAAATTAAATCCATTATTTTATGGGTTAAATATACATTTTCAAATATTTTCTCATTGAGGTTTATTTAATTTAGAAAAGAGATCAAATTGAGCCTTTTTTTACGGGATGTTTTCTTGCAAAGCTTCCCCTTTGATAAGTCTGTATCCCAGCTCCACACCTGGCAAACACCTGTGAGGGAATTCTGAAAACAAGATCATTTATAAATGTGTGAAATTTCAATATGTAGGGATTAGCGAATGAGTAGATTAAAGGCAAAGCCTTGACTCTTTGAATCAGAGGAAAATCCTGATGATTACCTCTGAGTTAGACTTACTGCAAACAACTGAATAAAAAAAAATCTGGGTGTTGTCGTATAATCTGCGCCTATTTATTCCCAGAAACAAACCAAAAAACAATTAGTCAAACTTAAGAAATGGCATTTTTAGCCTTTTAAGTTTCCAAAAATGTTCAGGGGTGTAATTTTTCCTAATGTCTGCCAACAATGCAGTTCAACGTAACATAACACATTAGAAATAAATAAACATAATTATTAGTTTTGCACTTTTCTGTCACACCCAAAATTCAAAAGTCGAGTTGGATTGGTGTTAAAAAGGGCTAATTACTCATTTGACAGCTTATTGCCAGAGAGGAGCAACACCTCGTTTCCAGGCCTGGCGTCAGGCCGGCGTGGGGGGGGCGGATTG